GGAGTCGGTAAGTAATATCTGCTACCCAGTAAAGATAAGATCAGGGAGTCGGTAAGTAATATCTGCTACCCAGTAAAGATAAGATCAGGGAGTTAGTAAGTAATATCTGCTACCCAGTAAAGATAAGATCAGGGAGTCGGTAAGTTATATCTGCTACCCAGTAAAGATAAGATCAGAGAGTCAGTACGTAATATCTGCTACCCAATTAAAGTTTAGTGCCAAAGGAATATATTGTTATAATAACATATTTGTTGATATACTGTTAATCTCTTAAATACACGGTTTTTAAATTTTAAAGTCTTAGCGTATGAAAATATTTTTGGCTGTTATAAACTATGTTTTTAACAGCATGGCATGAATACTCTGATTATTTCTTTTTAAACAAGAGTTTTTAAATTTATATCTATATTTAAATTTCCATGCTGTGTGTCACAACATGCTCATATGTTTGGAAACCACTGGCTAATAAAATCAATAATTTTTGTTATCTGTCATCCAACGGCTCGTACACTATCCTAATTAAGTGGCTAATAAAATCAATTATTTTTGTTATCTGTCATCCAATGGCTCGTATGCTATCCTAATTAAGTGGGCTGAATTTTTTCCTATCTTGTTTCGTGTTTGTAGAGTTTGGTGGCTCCCTGAACGTCCAAGCCATAACAGATTTTATCGACAACGGTGGAAATGTGCTTGTTGCGGCCAGTTCCAGTGTTGGTAAGTGCTACAGAATAAGAGGTTTATAGAACCTAAAGTTGTGTCTGACTCGTCCTTTTTTTTTACACTGTACCTCACTAAATGGCTAGTGAGTAATGGTAGTTGGAAGTCGGTACTGTTGTGTTGGAGTTAAATATATATTATCCAGATTTTTTATTGTACATCATATTCTGTACTTGTATTTTTCATTAGTTAAATGATTTTAGAACAGGAGGTTAACCTCAAAATTTGTGTTATTACTTCTTTTTTTTTACATGAGATATAGCCATCGTTGACTGTGCGAGTACTGATTATACGTGCCGTCTATGGTGATTGGTGCGGTGAAGACAGTTCGGCCTTATCGGTGTGCGTTAAACACCCCCCCCCCCCCGAAGTATATCGCTCATGATTGCTGTACAAAATATGGTAGTAAATACGAGATGGCACTTATTTAATATTATTTATCATGCTAAATGCTAATTTATTTTTAGCTATGCATTCTGGCATATACCCTTAGAGCCCCCCCCGTGGAGTGATAGAGGGAGGATTAGCATTTGAATCTGAATCCCCTATGTCATATGCTATAGTCCCCTATGTCTTCCCCTTGCGTTCAATAGTTATGTCAGCTAGTGTCCCATATTTGTCATAGTAATGTCAGCTTAATGTAATTTCTTATTCGTCAGTTCAGTAAATATTTAGACATGCATTATTGTCTTTCAATACAATAAATTTTCATACGGATATTGGTAATACATATTGTTTTTTAAGAAATTATCCGTATTAAATGTTTTCTTTAATTCTAGGTGACGTAATTCGTGAATTGGGCAGTGAATGTGGGTTTGAAATAGATGAAGAGGAAACTTCTGTGATTGACCATTTGAACTATGACCTTTCCGATGATGGCAAGGTACTAATTCACAGAGTTTAATAAATCGTGAAGAGAAATTAATTTTAAAGACCCAATCAGCATATTGTGCAAATTTTGCTATGTAAAGTCATCTAAATGTTTTTGTATGAAATGTGAAAAGTTTAAACATTCCACACTTTTTTTTTAATGTCATGTTGGGAGCAAAGGTAAGTCATAGAGTGCATGTTTATTTATCTTTTCCTGATCATTGTGTGTGTGTTCTACCATTATCGCTATGTTGGCAGAGAAATGCAAAGTTTTAATTCAGCTAATCTGTTTTTGTGTAAGAATGATTCGTTAAACATTTTTATGTTAAGACAAATTATAATTAAACATATTTCAACTTGGCTCTCACTCAATGTTAAACGTTAATTTCTACTTTAAGAATCGCTGACTGAATTTATTCCTGTCAACTTCTATACTTTCACAATCGAGCTTTAGCCCTAACCTCACAAAACTTGCAACCTATGCTATCAGGTATGTCTTTTCGCACAGTCGAAAACCTGTGATGGACTCGTTTCCCTAGCATACAAATCCTAGTTGTCTGATTCGTTGGACCCTCCTGGTGGAGTCCACATGTCACATCATGCTTGCTTGTTAGTTATAAAACTGTACATAATTGGCTTAAATTACTAATCTTCTGTATAAAATCCAAATGTGGTCCCTGCAGTTACTAGTGGGATTACAGTTATTGGTGACATCTTTGTGTGACTGTAACTGACAAAGTCATATTCCCACATGAAATTCCCTGCATGTCTCAGAAAAGTGTGTTTTTATAGCCATTATTGTAGTGTTAATAAAGACTTCTTTAGTGGGGAAATGGTATTGTGAAAGCCATGTCATTCCTCTGCAGAGTACATGTGGCTCTCCCACTAGCTTGTGTTCATTCCTTCCTTCGTCTTTATCATAGTCGTGTCCTCCAGTTCAGTGTGTTGACTGAATGTGTTACAGATCTGTGTTGTTGTTAGTATCGTGTTGACCGAATGTGTTACAGATCTGTGTTGTTGTTAGTGTCGTGTTGACCGAATGTGTTACAGATCTGTGTTGTTGTTAGTGTCGTGTTGACCGAATGTGTTACAGATCTGTGTTGTTTTGATAGTACTCAACATCCAGTAAATATTTGTTGTTGTTGGTGTCGTGTTGACCGAATGTGTTACAGATCTGTGTTGTTGTTAGTGTCGTGTTGACCGAATGTGTTACAGATCTGTGTTGTTTTGATAGTATTAAACGTGCAGTAAATATTTGTTGTTAGTGTTGAAATTATGCATGTTGTTGTGAACATTATGATGTAAATAAGTATATAATTAACTGATCGTTACTTTGCAGCATACCCTCATTGTTTCCGAGGCTTCAGAGTTGCTTGATGCACCAACGGTTGTTGGATCCAGAAACATCCCTCCCGTTTTGTTCCGAGGAGTTGGGTAAGAATCACAAGTTATCCGTGACGTACCTGCCAACATAAGCATATATCCGATTGTCAAGTTATTGGATTTTGAAACAGCTCAGTTAGAGAAATAATGAAATTTAATTACATTCACTCGTGTAAAGTTGCATTTTCTCATGATTTTTTATTTAATCAATTCAATATGTTCACTTTCATTGGTCATAACTAAAGAAATACGGATGGACCGTGCATTCCCGATGAAGAAAGCCAACTTAAAGGATAAAATTCCTTGGGAATATGGAAATGTAATATTTCGATCCCCCGCAGCTAACTTAATAATTTATTGAACAGATGGAAAATAGGCGGATAAAAACATAAGCGAATATTCCCCCGGCCTTCAAAATTCTAAGCCGGTTGTTTATCCAAACTTTTTTAACTTTTGAGGTACATAGTTTGTTAAAGAAATGTTCGCTATAGTTGAAAAATAGTTATGTAACATTTATCACTTTTATCTGCTTTAAACGCATGAAGACTAAGTACCCTTTAGTCGTACTTGAGTAAGGAGACACGTTACACTAATTAAATAAATTGATATATAAGCATAACGAAGTGATTTATTTTGGGAGGGGCACACTACATAAAAAGAAGTATTGGTATTCTTAGCAAGAAAATAATATCTCACTCAACTTAAGAGATTTACAGACAAATCTTTTGTAGAAATACTCTTTTTAGAATCTGATTTTATGTGTATAACAGACTTTTGATTTTTACAGAAGGTTTGCCAAATATTGTGAAGACATGTTTTGTACAGTTTGACTCTGCTCTTATAGATAGGGTTAATTATAGTAATACCAACAAAGGAGACACGAGCGTTTTTTCCTTCTTAATTCATGTTTGCCAACAAGAAACAAGTTAAACCAGTTTTCTTTCTCTAGGACGATCTCTGACCAAGACAATCCTCTTGTCCTTGAGGTTCTCACTGCATCTTCCACGGCTTACAGCTACAAACCCGATGTTGAAATATCTGAGGTGAGTTTTTTCTTACAATAACTTTTTCTGTTTGTGGATTTCTTTTTTTTTAGAAGTAGTATTTGATAGGGTGTATTTTACATACAGCTTGTAATAATACAACTGTTTTAAATTACTCAATTTTATGTTAAACCTATTAGAATACTAAAACTAAGCTCATGTGACTTTAAAGAAATACAGAAAATAAAGTACAAGTTTATTAACTAATAACTGTATTTATTACCACCAGGTGGTTTCTACTATAAACAAAGTAAAACCTTCTAAAGTGTGGACTGTACTGGTAAACATTTTTTACCACCAGGTGGCTTCTGTTGTAAACAAAGTAGAACTTTCTTAACTATGGACTGTACTGGTAAACACTTTTTCCACCAGGTGGCATCTTCTTTAAACAAGATAGTACCTTCTTAAGTGTGGACTGTACTGGTAAACACTTTTTACAACCAGGTGTCTTTTTTTTTTTATGTTGGTAATAAAGATAGTAAAAGGACCAATCTGACGTAAGTAGTGGACGTGAAACCTTACGGCCACCATAGTCTGTTTCTGGTACTAATGTCATTCTGTATTATAGTAATAATGAATCTATAATTAAATTTTCTTCATTGGTTTCTGTACTTGTTATTCTGTTTGATTGTGACTCCAGAACTCCATTTCTTCATTGGTTTCTGTACTTGTTATTCTGTTTGATTGTGACTCCAGAACTCCAATTCTTCATTGGTTTCAGTACTTGTTATTCTGTTTGATTGTGACTTCAGAACTCCATTTCTTCATTGGTTTCTGTACTTGTTATTCTGTTTGATTGTAACTTCAGAACTCCAATTTAAGTAACTTAATCGCATCTGAAACTAACATGATAGTATTGGTAGAGTGTTAAGATATTCTTAAACTTTTGTTGGAGTTCACTGAAATCTCAACCAAGTGAATCGTATCAGTCAACGATCTCTCTCTCTCTCTCTCTCAACAACAGACGTATCTATTAATGGCTGATTAGAGAGGAATGACTGATGGTGGAAGTAGTTACAACATTGGTAGTTGTATTTTTCTACATAATAACATTAAATAATTTCAAATATATAACCATATACGCATGGTTAGGGGTGAAAGTGAGCATAACACAATCTTTTACAGAGAGCCATTCAACTTGGGTTTACGTTTTTGATGTCAGAATTTATCACCTATTAATTTTAGGTTGCTGATTCAGCAAACAATAAATTGAGTACGTACCAGATACAATAAACAATGATATTGAAAAAAACTGCAGATATGGATTACAGAGGTTATATAAAGGTAATGCACAAAAGTTTTTTCACCTGAACATCACTCCGACTTGTCCGAGTCTGGGTCATACCGATGTCGATTCACAGACAGATCTTGAGTACAAGTACTTTTGTAACACATCTGATATTTTGTGTACCACAAACTTGTCCATTTTACTAAAACCTTACCACCTTTCGCATAGGTACATTCACTAAATTTGGAATTATAGTCGACATTCCTTCTCCAGTACGGGGTCGGTCTAGTGGATTGATCCCACGCACACTTGGTTTAATTATTTATAGTTTATTTATATAATTAAACATAAAAATATGAACAGAAGCATAAGAAATAGTAACAAACTAAAACACTTTGTTATAACTCAACAGTTGTATTAACTTGTAATATAGGCTGCTGCTTATTGAGAAATATGGCAGCCCACTTAGCCATCTGGTGACTTTTGTATGAAGACTTGTGTGGTGGGTAAGCACAGATAGCCCATTGTGTAGTTTGTGCTGTTTGTACTTTTTTTTATCATTTGTTGCCATTTGGATATAGAAAGCAAAACATATTATTAAGTAATTGTATAGAGTACCTTGTTGATTTAACACAGTGTTCTTGTTTTCTAGTATCCACATGCTGTTGGGAAGAGTACCTTGTTGATTTAACACAATCTTCTTGTTTTCTAGTATCCACATGCTGTTGGGAAGAGTACCATGTTGATTTAACACAGTCTTCTTGTTTTCTGGATACTCCCAACAGCATGTTTAAGACTGTGTTAAATCAACAAGGTACTCGTTTTCTAGTATCCACATGCTGTTGGGAAGAGTACCTTGTTGATTTAACACAGTCTTCTTGTTTTCTAGTATCCACATGCTGTTGGGAAGAGTACCTTGCTAATTTCAGCTCTTCAGGCAAGGAACAATGCTCGTGTGGTATTCTCAGGATCTTTGGATTTCTTTAGTGACCAGTTCTTTCAGGCCAGTGTCCAGAAAGCCCATGGAGGTCAAAGGTGAGTGTGTATTGTAAGGGAAAGGTACAGAGTGTTTCTATAACGTGGTTCTAGTTATAAGTTGATTTTTTAGGACAATATTAATTATAAGTGATTTCCAATAAAGGACAATCACCCTAAAAAGGAAGCAAATAGTGAATTTGTATTTTATATACATTTTATATTTTTAATTTCTAGGATATGTGTAGTATTTCTTGGGGTAGAGGATTCCACCTCTCGCAGTCATTACTTTGTGTATGAGACATCTCTGCTGTTTTTCTCGTGGTAGTAAAAAACACTTTTTTGGCTCATTAAAATAATGTTTTATTATTTGAAAACTGTAATAATGTGGTTTTTGACCTCATCCTTAAAGTCAATCATGAGGTGCCGACAAAACTTTGGGAGCCACTTGTGAGCCAAAAGTGATCAGAACAGGATTTCCTGGGTCTGATTTTCTGTATTTCATCTTAGAAGCTACCAATACCTTTTCATTCCTATGTAGAGAGGGTTGGGTATGTTATATAAAAATTATTTTGAATGTGCAAGTCAGTAATTCATGTGACATCCAGTGAAATGGTGGCATGTATCAGAACTATATTTTGACATTTAATTGGTGGCAAAGATTCATCACTTTTGAGAAGGGTATGTAACAGTGTAAAAATTGGTTCAGGTGTGGGATTCTAAGATGGAGGTATTCTTTGAACTAAATCTCATTGAAATACAATTGAATATGGATCAACATGGGACACCTGGACCATCCAGCCATGGTTTGAAAAGTTCATTTTCTTGTAACTGGTAAAATCCATGAACACAAGAGTCAGTGGCAAAAGTCATCCATGTGCCCTAGGCAACATTGTGCAACATAATCAAATCTATATCTGAAAAATGACAGGTTTCTTCCGTAAAATATATATGTTTATCCGTCACATATTTCCAGAAGCTGGAAGATGAAATGTATGTTCATGTCTTCCTGTATGAAGACAAACCAATCAGATTTCTAGATGCAGTACCTATGGATTTATGTGTGATTGGATTGTTGAAAATGATGCTTCGAAATCATTGTTCTCATACACCAAATGGATTATGGAAAGCAAACAGAAAGGAGTGGTGTGCTTTTTACATCAAAGTCTTATGGTGCATCTTTTATCAGTGGAAACAATGATTCAGAGCTATAATTAAGATGCATGAACATTGGATTATGACCGTACATATGGTCAGAAGATCAAAAATCATTTCAATATAACATTCCCAACCTGTGTGTATTGGAGAAAAAAATTGGAATCTAATTTGCATAAAAATACTGTATGTTATGGAAATATATAGGAAATGGGGTTCTATAACTATTCCTACCCTTTGTGTTTCAAGTGTAAATGTTTAATGAATTTTGTTTGAAATATATGTTCAGATTAAACCTAAACAGTTATCATCATGAGTTTATACAATATATCAGATTATATCTAAACAGTCATTATTGTGAGTTTATACAATATATCAGGTTAAACCTAAACAGTCATAATTGTGAGTTTATACAATATATCAGGTTAAACCTAAACAGTCATTATTGTGAGTTTATACAATATATCAGGTTAAACCTAAACAGTCATAATTGTGAGTTTATACAATATATCAGGTTAAACCTAAACAGTCGTCATCTGTTAGATGCTACAAAAATTTAGTATTACGATGATTGCTAAGAAACCACATAAATTGAAGTGTCTTATAAAAACTTACTTATAGTTTGTTCATCATACGGGTGTATATTTTTTTTACCCAAAAAGACTTCTAAAAGTTGACAACATAAGTTAATTCCCACCACAAGAATGCACTAAATGCATTTCAATTTACAAAAGTGTATTTGAAACACCATTGGTATTTTTATTGATTTGGACTTTTCCATCAAGAGATTTGGTTGGTTAAGTAGCTAGGGTAACGAATAGATCCAATAAGTTTATGGAACACACCCATATAATGATTATTAAAAAAAATAGTCTTCTGATCTGTTGTATAAGACACATTGTTTACTTTAATGTTTCCCACTTTAGGTATGAAAAATCGGGAAACCAAGCCGTAGCTACAGCTCTGGCTAAGTGGGTGTTTAAACAGAAGGGAGTTCTACGGGCGAGTAATGTAAAACACCACCGTAAAGGAGAAACCTTTCCACCTGATTCGTATACCGTTATGGACGACGTGGTATGAATAGTGTTAACTTATTAAACTTGTAAAAGTTTCACAGACTCGTCGCAGACAATTTTAAGCTGTTTTGTTTAGGATAAGAATCAGTTGGTCTGTTCAAAATGTTGTTTGTGTAATTATGCTGGAGTGGATAGCATTTGTATAAGGTAACACGATTTAATACAAGCTAAAAACTATTCCATGGTTCGTAGCAGGTACGGAATTCTGGAGAAATCTTGGTTTTAATTTTCCAGGCTTTCAAAAAAGGTACGTAAAAGTCAGGAGGAGAAAAAAAATTTAGTTTGTTGTAAAAAGTTGTCATCAGTCATTTTTGTGTTTAAATAACAATGGAACTATCTTGCAGAATGTTTTCTGATAGCAGGGTTGAACAGATCTTCACGTTTAGCACATCTAATCACATTCTGCCCTCGACCTCACACTTCCTGCACATTGAGAAGATATCATGATAGAGGATGGGTGCATACTTCTTTTTGTAGGCAGATTTACATGCAAGACTTTGAAAGAAAATATCTCTTGTAATATGGGTTCAGAGTTTATGGGTCATGCTACTGTGTCTGAGCTACACGATAGTTTTATCATATGGGAAACGCTGGATTTCAAAACTCATTACGACTGTCTATGGATGGCCCAAACGTCAATTAAAATTTTTAACATTTTGCAAAAAGACAAAAAAAGCACCATCTTTCTAAACAAAATTTGCCCCCAGTGGCTCAGTAAGTCTGGAGGCTTATAACATTAAAATCTTGGTTTTGATACCCATGGTAGTCACAGCACAGATAGCCCATTCAACAAATAAAAAATTCAAAAGAACATGACAACTTAAAAGAAAAGGAAGCCAGTAGTTTAAGGATAAGCATGTGATGTAAAGTAACGGAATATCGCAAGTAACGTTATCTTTCATTGACAATATCACGTGAATAGACGATTCTAATGAACAACCAGTCTCTGATAATCAGTTGGTAACTCTCTTCTGATTTTCTGGAATACTTATAAAATAATTGTTGGTAAGTACAACTTATTTTTTTAATTGTAGACTATTAGTTGCATCTTTTCTTGGCATATGTTGCGAGTTTATTATTGGCAATATCATCAGGAAATTTTATAGTTTGCATCTGGAATTTTACTTTACTTGCTGTTATGGACCGTGCTTATCATCATACAAGTTTTGGGGTATTTCATATTGAAGAGAATTTCGGGTAACATCCACTAGTTTTACTCGGGAATTTGACGAGAGTCTGAACGCTTGTGAGAAAAAAAACTGATTTGGAAGATAAATTTGTCAGATTCCAGCCAAACAGGAAGATAAGAGAATGTAAGAATTATAAATAGAACATTTTAACACTTTGATGCGTGCGTTATGAATATTTGGTGTTAAAAAACATGATTTCTTTTAATTTCTTACTTCATCGGTTTTTATTACTCACAAAATATTGTTGTGTAGTATATTTTGGTACGTTACTTATAAGAAACATTGTTCAATCGAGGAACCAACAAAAGTAACTTTATGGTTTATTCAGACTGTTACTACCCAGTAAGTGTGAAGGTTAAAATCCAGGTTTTGATACCCACAGTGGGCACAGCACAGATAGCCCATTGTGTAGAATTGTGCTTAACGATAACAAATAAACACTGTTACCTGGAAATAAGATCATTCAACTATAGAATTGAAGCATTCATTTGTACATTAAGCAACAAAGGTTGATTTGTTACCTGTCTGTTACAATGTGCTATAGATGGTGGTATATAATTAGGTATTTTGATTAAATGTGACTACTTTTCGTCCATTTTAGCCTATCACAGGGTTAAGATTTTATTTTTTAATAGGTGTTCTCTATTAATGTGGAGATTTACAAGGATGGAAAATGGTTGCCATTTGAAGCTAAAGACATCCAGTTAGACTTTGTTCGCATTGATCCATTTGTCAGAATATCTCTGAAGAAAAAAGGTAAATAAGAGTAGAAACTAGTCCCTCGGAGAGGTCCGGGGAATGGTGCATAACTGACCTTTATCTCTGTGTACTGACGAATAATAACTACCAATGAAATGTTGACAAGACATGTTGTCTTGATATAGAAACTTTAACTGTTTATTGTCGCAGAGATGTTTGATATTTTCTTTGATATAAATTTTTAGTTCACTGTTGAAGACTCACATGTGCATCATTAATACAAAAATGTAAAGATCACGTGTTTTAGATGTTGTTATTGGTTTAACTGAAAACACAACAATATTGCACTAAAACTTTTATCAGCCCTTACCAGAGATAATGCCACGCATCGCAGCAGTTAACTTGTTAATGATATCATATGAGGATTAGATCAACAGGTTTGATAACTGTTAGTGATATTAGATGAGATTAGATTAATACAGGTTTGATAACCGTTAGTGATATTAGATGAGATTAGATTAATCCAGGTTTGATGGCTGTTAGTGATATTAAATGAGATTAGATTAATACAGATTTGATAACTGTTAGTGATATTAGATGAGATTAGATTAATACAGGTTTGATAACCGTTAGTGATATTAGATGAGATTAGATTAATACAGGTTTGATAACCGTTAGTGATATTAGATGAGATTAGATTAATACAGGTTTGATAACCGTTAGTGATATTAGATGAGATTAGATTAATCCAGGTTTGATAACTGTTAGTGATATTAGATGAGATTAATCCAGGTTTGATAACTGTTAGTGATATTAAATGAGATTAGATTAATCCAGGTTTGATAACTGTTAGTGATATTAGATGAGATTAGATTAATACAGATTTGATAACTGTTAGTGATATTAGATGAGATTAGATTAATCCAGGTTTGATAACTGTTAGTGATATTAAATGAGATTAGATTAATCCAGGTTGGATGGCTGTTAGTGATATTAGATGAGATTAGATTAATACAGATTTTATAACTGTTAGTGATATTAGATTAATACAGGTTTGATGGCTGTTAGTGATATTAGATGAGATTAGATTAATACAGATTTGATAACTGTTAGTGATATTAGATGAGGATTAAATCAACTCAGGTTCGATACACAATTGTGGCTTCTATTTGTAACATGTTGTCTAATTTCTAACATTGTTATTTAAACTTCTCTTTTAGAAGGTACCAAGTATGAAGCAGTATTCAAGGTTCCCGATGTTTACGGTGTATATCAGTTTAAAGTGGATTACAACAGAATGGGTTACACCCACTTGTATAGTACGACACAGGTTAGTAGCTCTATTTTTCTAAAGCTCTCTACTTCAGGTATATGGAAGAATCCACTAATAAACAGAAGTCCATCCAAGGAGTAATATGAATTAAAACTCAATACACAGATAGTTTACAGTTTTTTACAGATACGTACGTAAAGGAATTCCAATTGATAGGGGCAGTTTCATGTGAAATGATTTAAAAATAACTAGGAAGCGTTAGTTCTAGAAACAAATAATTAAATTTCTGAACAGACATTAAATATTTTATGTAAGGGTTACTCTTGTGCCCGTTTTCCAATATTAATTATCTTTAAAAGAAATTTTTAGATCCACTTCTCTACAAGTCAAGTTTGTAAAAAGGGTTAGAGTTATTATCCCCAAGCATTGTATTAATTAAGTATGTTTTCTTACTCAACGTTTCTGTAATGAAATTATTAATTTTTCAAGAGTTTCTTACTTGTGAACCTTTGATGCCACAATCAGAATTTTGTACAAGTTTGGAACTTTGTGTAGTTTTAAAGCTACAGTGCATATACTTTGTAATGTGATATAAAACTTATAAACTTAACTTTAAAACTAAATCTGTACGTGACAGAAATTAGTTTTGTATTCTGTGCTATCCTTCTAGATCACACGATGATTAAAGCTAAATTTTTACCGACGTTTTTACATTGTTTCATTCGTATAGACTTTATGAAACAAGTTGTTTTAACGTGTATTTTAAGCAGTGGCTAAAGTCGGGTGGTGTACATACTAGCTATAAAATAATGTTAATACCGTCACACCTTTTTTGGCTTCTCATGAAAATACATTTAACTTCAGTGTGTCTGCAATTACACATGTAAGCTGGTACATTTATTAAACCACTTTAGACACTGGCTCTTAATATATGCTGATGCGCAAACAGTGTTACAGAGTTGTTCCATTGACTGATTGGAGCCAATAGTAAGGATATCTTGGCAGCGTTACATGTTTAATCTGTGCAGTTGACAAGTGAATATTTCAATAACTGTTGTAAACAACTCAATACACTTGAAACTAAATAACCATTTTTGTCAGTAAAGAATTACCACTTTTATTTTATAAAAACAGAAAATAGTCTTTGTGTTTCAGGGGTACCAAATAAAAAAATTAAAAGCAATTTAAGGTAAATTCACAAACTGTAGCATTCTTTGCGATATCTTTTTATAAAGCACACACTGAAGCACACACAGTACAAAAGATTCATTCCGTCAGCGTGTGATATCTTTTTATAATCGGACCGTTTTCTGTTTTCAGGTATCCGTACGACCACTGAAGCACACACAGTACGAAAGATTCATTCCATCAGCGTATCCGTATTACCTAAGTGCCTTTTCTATGATGGGCGGAGTGTTTATTTTCAGTTTCGTATTCCTACATTTTCGTGAAACTTCTAAATCTAAAACCGAGTAATTATTTTTTTTTATCGGTCCTTTAAGACATTCCTCTCAAAAACAAGTGTACCATGAAAGATTTTAAAACATCGCAGTGATTAATTAAAGAAAGAATGACATGTAGGATTTTGAGGTATTGTGAAAATTGTTTAAATAAAAATAACAAGTAAATCTGGTGTCATTTTATGCTTCCTACTTTTGTAATCTGTAAATTTGGAGAAGTGTTTAAAACTCTATGTCACCAAGTTCTCTACCATGTTACAGTTTTGTAGACTGCTAGCAGAAGCTGACACGAGGTAAGGAGTCTGCTGCCAAACATGAGATAGTATCTACGACATTTTGTCAGATTCCATGATTTGAACACAATTAAAATAAAGTATATTTTTTTAATCTGATTTTGATGAACGAGTAGAAATTGAAAGCTAACGTCAGTAAAATATTTTGATTTTATAAAGCTTCTACTCTATACACTTTGATTATTATCTTAAGTAAATAATTCTCTTCTGTAACAAAGATTATGGTTACAGAGCTTTTGCTACAAGACGACCTAAGCCTGTAATGATAAACGACATTTGTGAATTAATAAACAGTCCGTGTTAGTTGCTGGCAGCCAGTGTTTTATTGATTTTATAATATTATCCATATTGTTATCAAGAAATGTTAATTTCTGTTAATAGATTAAATGAAACCAACTAATAATTGTAGTGTGTGCCTCAGGGTATATAACACTAATTTCTAGAGATAATTAAACGTTCTCTATCATTTGTTGCACATAGTTTTTTTTTGTCAGTATTTGAGCAATACTTTGTTAGATGTGTAACACTGAATTTTAGTGAAGGTTTACAATTTTTTATCCTGATGTTATTTAGTAAGTTATTTTTCTTTACTGTAAGAAGTTGGTTTTCAAGGATTTGTTAGCATTAAAAGATTAAAACTAAAAACTGTTAACCAGATGATATAATAGAGAAAAATAAAAGTCAACTTTTTTAACCATATCAGGCTGCTACATAATGTGGGTTCCAGTTAACTCCAGGTGATATAACGGAGGAAAACAATGTCGGACTTCCTTAACCATATCAGGCTGTCACATAATGTGGGTTCTAGTTAACTCCAGATGATATAACGGAGAAAAACAATGTCGGACTTCCTTAACCATATGAGGCTGCTACATAATGTGGGTTCTAGTTAACTCCAGGTGATATAACAGAGAAAAACAAAGTCAAGCTTCCTTAACCATATCAGGCTGCCACATAATGTGGGTTCTAGTTAACTCCAGGTGATATAACGAAGAAAAACAAAGTCAAGCTTCCTTAACCATATCAGGCTGCCACATAATGTGGGTTCTAGTTAACTCCAGGGGATATAACGGAGGAAAACAATGTCAGACTTCCTTAACCATATGAGGCTGCTACATAATGTTGGTTCCAGTTAACTCCAGTGATATAACGGAGAAAAACAATGTCAAGCTTCCTTAACCATATCAGGCTGCCACATAATGTGGGTTCTAGTTAACTCCAGGTGATATAACGGAGGAAAACAATGTCGGACTTCCTTAACCATATCAGGCTGCCACATAATGTGGGTTCTAGTTAACTCCAGGTGATATAACGGAGGAAAACAAAGTCAAGCTTCCTTAACCATAACACACGCTGTGGGTTCCAGAACACAGTTACTGGTTTTTTCACTCCTGGGAACAGGAACAGCTGTGGGTTATGGTTCGTTAGTAGCCTATAAAATCACTTACCTGTATCTAATAATTATTGATGTTTACAAGATACTAATCAGTTTATACCCTATATTTTGACTACTAATTAGCTGGAAAGTACGGTTTGTGGTGGTAGTGGCCAGAATTTGATCTGGGATCTTCCTGTTGGAAAGTTTTGTGTGTTACCTTCTTGTCTGGAGTCTCCTCTGGACTTTCATCAGAGGTGAATCCAGATTTACTGACTTTTATACTAAATTAACTGTTTGTGTTATCAGTTAGGATGGTGACTGTTACTTTTTCTCTTGTGACATTTATATCCTGTTATTATTGCATGGTCTTCTCTGTCATGATAGGCCAGTGCAGATAGGTTAATATGCTAGAATCCAACTTGTATTGTTCTATCTGTTTAAACAGTGTTTTTGTTATCCATTGGGTGGTTTGGTGTGTGCTCATTACGATCACATTGGCAGTGCTAGCTGGGTCCCGTGTTCCACACATTTGACTCTTGTCTTTTGGTAACTGCATTCAGATATCAACTACAGTTTATATAAATTTTGCTGAGATTGACACATTTCATCATGTAAACATGACTATATGTAACTCTGTGACCTTTGTACTGTGTAAAAGGTCACCCGGAATTATAGATTGGTCAATATTTATGCTTTGTTACATGCTCTACAATAAATGATGCCGAGGATTCCTTTATTTTGAGACAATAAGTAGTTGATACGTGTGTTACTTTCATCAACTTAACTCAAAAGATATATTGTTCACCAACTTCAGGTTTTGAACAGTTTGTACACTGATCAGCAACGTTCATCAGTGTTATAAACCGATACAGATCGTGACTAGATCTCGTTCAACCCCAACAATAACTTGCATAGCTCACCAGGAAAATTTAGAACTTGTAGAACTGTTGTCTTCGTAAATTTTTTTTTTCTAATCAAGTTTGAAAACCATATTACTTTAATTTAGAATTTTATCATTTTGAATCCACATAAATTGTATAACTGGTTTTCATTAAAATATTTTTAATTTCTTAATACTTATGTTTAATTTGAATAAAACGTAAATATTTAGTGGTGAAGTTTTGATTGTGAAACAAAATTACAATACGAGTAACGTTGTATCATCTGGAATTTCTTTTTTCAGTCGTACGTAATTGAAAATCAATAAAAATAAAATTTAAACGGTTTAACACTAACATGCGGGAGGATATCCTCAGTGTTATTGTCCATTGTAAAGATCATGTGTCTCAAATGATGAAGTTTCTGGATAAACTTATAACTTACACCTGTCTGCAGTAGTGAAGATTTCAGTCAGAACACTGAGCCCTTACTTGGGTTCTGCTCTCTCGTGGTTCGGCAGTAAGTAATAGTTTATAGCACTAAAAATCAAGTTTTGATACTCTTAGTGGGCACAGCACAGATAAGCACAAAGCTACTCAATGTGCTAACAAACAGGTTGCTGTGTTGGGGGAGTGTGATTGTGGGACATCTTGATCGACATTTAAAAAAAGTGAAAGTCTGAAACATAAGGAAACATTTCTTATCAAAGTGATAGAAAAACAAAATCAAAATATTTAGTAAGCTGGTTCCAAATTTCATGCAATTTATCTAAGTATTTTCGGTGATACCCTCCCAGTCTGGAAAGGGTCAAGATGTCTCTATTATTGCATTCATTTCTTACTTGTATACACCCTGTGAATGCAGAATGAGATTTTTTGAATCCAAGACACATTTTTGTGTTAATGTGTCCTGGTGATTATATTGTGAATTCTTAATTCTGTTTACCTATCCTCTTTCTGTTGACAGAGGGTAATATGGCTGTGCCTCCTCCTTATACTTAGCCTTTATCAAGTATTAAGGGTTGGCTACTCTGTGTATGAAGTTGTAAATTAATAAAAAAAAAAAAAATGTGTTCTGTGAACAATCCTTTCAAGACTTTTCTACTCTGAATTGAGTATACATTAAGAAAAATACAAACAAAAAGTAACTATAAATTAGTATTTAAGTAGTGACACACATCAACTTTAGGTCAATGGGATCATCAGACGTAAAATGACGTTTACATTTTGCACACAAATATTACTTTCTCTGTATGGAGAAAACCGAAAATTGACGTTTTGTTTGTTGCTTAATTTTAGTAAAAAAATGTAATTTTCCTTATGCACTTAAATATGGTACGACTTGAATACTAATTCTTATACAGCCCCATAATAACAATAAATAAAGTGAATCATTCATTAATTAAAAAGTTGCTAAATTGTTACAACAGAATTACGTGTTGTGCAGTAAAAATAGTGGGCAAGTTTGTGTGAATACATGTAAAGTTAACCCAGTCTGTTCAGATGTTAAAAGATAGCTTCTTCAGAAAATATTCCGACGAATATTCTACGTGAAGTTTAAGATTTTTCCTGACCAGTTATCTTGAAACTATCACATACTAGGGAAGAACTAACATTTTGTAATCACACATAATATAAACTCGTTTTTGAAATCTGAACGTTAAACACTAACTATGAGAAGTTCGAAAACGTGTAGG